TATTTTTATAGGGATTTGAGGGAGAACTACTGCCGAAATCCAGATGGATCTGAATCACCCTGGTGTTTTACCACTGACCCAAACATCCGTATTGGTTATTGCTCCCAGATTCCTAAGTGTGATGTGTCAAATGAACAAGGTAACAGAGGGAAGGGCGATAACATGATTCTAAGTGAATGCTGTACTATGCCGAACAGCAGATAGGCAGGCTTGAAAGCTGGAAAAGTTGGTCTCAGTACATCTGTATTACACCTGTGTAGTTCCACTTTGGCTTTATTTGCATATTTGGGATTCATCATGGTGTAAATGAGATTCATTTCTCAGTTCATGTTTCGATTCCAGCAGAGAAAGATGCAGTAAAGATTTGCTGTTGAATCTGAGCTTTAGACAAGGTGAATCTCTGTGCCATTTTATATTAGCTGGAGATCTGCTTCACTGTCTTACCTTTCTTAATTTGAAAGGCCTTTTTCCAGAGCTAAGATGATTTCCTTGGTTCACAGTCTTTTTTGTAATTGCATATGAGGCTACCAAATGTCGTTTTTTTTAAATTTGTTTTTCCCTTATACCCTGTCATCTAAAAGGAGTTGAACTCAAAAAAACAAAACAAAACAAAACCAAACACATGGGACTTCCCATGTAGCCTCTTAGCTTCAAGTTATTATGTCTGCCTGCAAAGTCTACTCTGAGTCTTCAGGCAAATTTTGGTTTTTCCATGAGGTCTTGGTATTACTCTAAGGAGTATTATTGCATCCTGAGAACTGATGTCAATCATAACATAAACTGAGGCTGAGACCTCAGACCTGTGACCCTACATCAGGCTGCATTAAGATTCCCATCTTTAAATTTTATCCATTTTTTTCTCTTAAAATTTGAAGAGTTGCAGTTGCAAGAGTTCTGTCAGAGAAGGGATTAAACCTTGACTTTCATTCTGTGTTTTTTGTAAAGTATCAACTATGAAAAAGTAAAAATACTGATGAATATGAAATGAAATGCTTTATACAAAAAGTCTTTATAGTAGCGATCATTTTAAACAATCCTCTTGAAAAGTTTCAAAAAGGCTTGTGATAAAAGCTTATGAATTAAACATGACTTCTGCTGGAGTGAACAGGCAAGTTTTTGAATTACATTAAAATTAAAGTGATGTTGATTTTTTGATTTTGCCAAAGTAGAACTTAAGTCTAGGTTTACATATTGCTGACAGTATCCAGAACCTACATGAAGGTAAATTGTTTCAAATAGGCTAAGAGTGCCTGTTTTTTGAGGAGGGAGGATTAAGGGGGCATTTTTTCTTTGTTTTGTATGAAATAGATCCCGACAACTTTTAGACTATTCCGTGTGACACTTCTAAATTAACCATAAACTAATTATTTATAAAAGAAATTTTCACAGTTTATCTAAATAAAACAAAATTTAAAATGTTAGTGTGTTGAGAATGAAGACCTCAAGCAGATTATGTATCTAAATTTGAAATTTTTCTATTTTCCTTCTAATTTGATTTATGCAATTGTCTGATTTATATTGTATAGTGTTTGCTAAATATAACACTTGTCTTTAATTATTTGGATTACTGATGGACAAGTTTTCTTTTCAGTGTTGCACAATCACCCTCTACTTTTTCTTGTCTCAACATTATTATTCAGATTGTTATCGTGGCAATGGGAAGAGCTACATGGGGAATCTCTCCAAGACAAGATTTGGGCTAACTTGCTCCACATGGGACAAGAATATTGAAGACTTACGTAGGTGTGTACATATGAAACAAAAAAAGAGATGGTTCAGTGAGTCCTGAATAAATACTGCCTGCAGATGGCATCTCCGTTTCTTCTGCAGTGATTCTAAAATAGCCACTTATGCCCTGGAGATTTTAATATCTTTTTTTACTTTTTTTTTTTTTTCTTTCTCTCGGTGTTTAAATATATTACACAACATCTCTTTGTTCAAGCTAACCACTAATTGCAGGCTTTGGGATGTTTCTTAGTGTTTAGTTTACTGACCTGGTTTACCCCATCTTTGTCCTTGAAAGTTTTGTTCTATGAGAGCATAGCAGGAACAAAGCAGGAAATTGTTATCTCATCAATCTAATCTCATAGCTCATGCTTCTTCAGGCAGGGGGTTGTACTTGAAACCACCTAAGGTCCCTTGCAACCTGAAATTGAATCATGAGTCTATCATCTAATGACACTAACATCAAATGTCATTGAAATGACTTGAAATTTCTGTTGTTTGTCATTACTTTGCTTCATATTCAATTAGTGGAAATGGCAAGTTACTTTTAATTTATTTGTTAAAGTAAAAATGAATCAGCCATAAGTACAAAAGAAGTTGTGAGTTTTCAAGACTTTTTCAATTATGCCAGGATCTTCAGTGTTGTCTTTGCTGGTTCAGAAGAGTAGATTAAAGAATCTCAGGAGTGACCAGAACAATGACTTCCAGGTACTGCACAAAGACAGAGATTCATCAAAAATTTTGCTATGTATCAGATACAACACACATTACTGGCCCAGATGGAAACAATTTTCCCTTTGTTTTCCTTTAGTTTCTGAAGATGTGATTATGTCTATATTACATTTGGTACTTGGTCTTGAGTTAGTGCTCATGATCACCACGGTCGTAGTGCCCAACATATTAACCATTGCCCTCTGGAATCTGGTTGTCCCTGATTCCTGTCCTGTCCATGTAAAGGAGGCAGAGGCTTGAGTTCATGGCTTCTGAGAGCTCTGATAAGTCTTCAATTAGCTGTGAATGATACAGCCTGAAGCAACTGGGTGCTTGATGCAGTTGCATTCATATAATCTTGAGCACAGATCAACCTTTCTTCTCTTACTTCCACAAATTTTCCATCTGGGAACCTCTTTGAAGAGTTATGTGTCTCACTTCAGCAGTTTCTTTGGTTATGGGTGTGCTAGAAGCAGCATGCATGGTTGGTTATAAAACCAAAAGGGCTGTGCAGTTCTGACTTAGGAATTCTGCACGCTTCTGGCTGACCAGCCAGAAATAAACTTTTTTGCTTCAGATTTTCACCCAAATTTCTATCTTTAAACTGCCTCATGTAGGTTTGCAACTTAGGTGACCTATGATTGGAGTTTGTCTGAGCCATTCATCCTTCTCCTTGCCTGCTGCTCAGTCTTGCTATCTTTCTTGTGTTTGTCCTTCCTTTGCCTAAAATTCAGCTTTCTTTGCAGATTTCGCGTTCCCTTGTGCTAATCTGCAGGGAGAAGGTACTGGTGCTCCCAGAGAGGCCTGCAGATTTGCTAAGGGCAGCACAGACACTCTTCTAACCAGTGCACAGTTGCCTCCTGAGGGTATCCAGGGATTTTAGCTCAAGTGGGAGATCTAGAAACCTCCCAGCTGTCCGGTGCTCAGAATACCAACCAGAGGAAACTTGGACCCAGATCCAGCAAATATTTGGGTCTCATCTTCCCTTTGATTTTAACCAGCCCTAAACCCTGACCTGTAGGCTTCTCAATCAGCTAATATTACAATGTGGAGCAAAGCAACATTTAACCTTTGAAAATTTGGGCTATAGTATAAAGCTTTTCAGCACTTTGAATTTTTTTTCCCTGTAGGCATATACAAATATTCAGAGAACCAGATGTTAGTAAACTGAAGAAAAACTATTGCCGCAATCCAGATGATGATTTTCATGGTCCCTGGTGTTACACAGATGATCCTCTCGTTCCCTGGGATTACTGCCCTATTTCTCGATGTGAGTACTTGGTATGCCTCAGGCATTGTCAACTGTGCTGTCCCAGTGAAGCCATGGCGTCACACGTGTATGCATACCTTTCTGTTGTCGCTTGTGGCAGCAGAAAATGTGTAAGTCCATCAAGAATCAATTGTGCATGACTGAAAAGGGATGGACAGAAGCTGCTTGTGCAATATATGAACAAGGGGTCCTTTTCCTTGACCAGCTTAGAGATTTCAAGGCTTATTTATGCAGCAGGAGCACAAAAGAGCTATTACAGATGGTCAAACATTTTCCAACAGATCTAGCTATTGAATGAGGGCTGGACGGAGACAAAGAATTGTCTAGTGGTCAAAATGCTGGCTGTGGCCTCAAGAAACCCAGGGACAGTTATCTTCTGTGCTACAAGCCTCATAGTCTCTTTGTGTGTTCTGCATTTGTTTGTAAAGTTAGGATAACTCACTATATGTATGCTGATACATCTATGTGTTATATAGATTCTGCTTTCGGATGTTTGTGGGATGATTTAACTCCTGGCAAGAATTAGGAACATCACTCCTCCAAAGCTGCATGTTAAAATCTAAATAGCTTAAATAAATAGAATTAAAAATCATAGGGACATCAGTAATAAGCCAAAGTTAAGTGGAAAAAGATTTATGCTGAAAAATGTGCAATTCAAGTTTAGGTTCAAGATTTTTCTCCTAAATTCTCATTTCTAAATCACTGTGCTGTATATCCTGAGAGAACACTTGAATGGTAAATCAGGCTTTTGAATGCATGACTGTGATCTCTAGAGGTTAAGGATAATGTTACATTTACTCCTTGCAGCAATCTGCTGCATTTCTTCATAGTCTGAAGTGCAGCATCTCTAAGAGGTGATATGTGAAGTCTCAGGTGATATTTTGGCATCTATGTGAAGAGTAAACAAACTGTGCAAAAGGTCATTTGTGTCAATGTAGGTAAAGAACAGCAGCTGAAGAAATAGAAATATTATTCACTTACTCTTAAGTTCATTATCTGGATCTATGAATACTTAAGGAAATATTCACAGCAAACATTTGTAGGGTACGTGGCAATGGTGAGTATTATGATTTGTGGAATCAAACTCCAGATCTAGAATATGTCTGTTTTACAATTGTAACTTGTGTGGGCTAGTATTAAACTACACTATTTCACTAAGGTACTGATAACCAGCTTAACCAGTACAGACAAAATTCTGGCAATTTCCAAGTGTATTTACTTGGTGCCTTTAACTGGTCTTTTCAAACTAACAAACTTTTCAAACTATTTCAAAATAAATATATTTGTATATATGCATGCATACAGTTGCATATACATACACATGCATATGTGTACACATGCACACGGAAATTTAACTATGTATATGACTATACCTTTACATATATATTTTTTCTTAATGATGGAAATCTACTTGGATGAGACTGTTTAAATTTTGCCTGTGCAAATTTTCAGTAGCTACACCTGTAGCTCACAATGCTGGGGCACTCTGCAGACTTCACTGAAGGCAAGAACTTTGAACAGAGTTTAAGCAACTGTCTTGTAATTGTATTTTTACTAGATGGACTATATGGAAGAAGATGGAAGAACCAAAACAGATTTTGGGGAACACATTTTGATAAGACTAAGTTTTTGCTGATAGTAGCATAAAAAGACTTTTGAAGTTTCAAAGGTTTTTAAGGAAATTAGACATTTTCATTAAATCTGATTTGGATTTCATCACCTCTGTAGTTCCTGAAAGCTTAGAGAAAAGTCACAACTTAATTTTTCAACATTTGTTTGTTTGAATAAAACATGTAAATTAAACATGACTGATATAGCCTGATGTATTCAGGATTCAGCCAAGAAGAAAAATGTTTGAAACTCCTCTTGCAAAATGTTTAATTCTTATTTCATTCCATTGGAATGAAATTCTGCCTTCTTGTTAATCTGTACCAAATTGTGCTTTTGCAGAGTACTAAACAAATCATTGAAGTTTAAAACTTTGCGAGCTATTAAAATTAACAACATGCCATTTGCTGTTTATTTTTACTCTATTCAATTTTTAGATGTGTTTTAATTTTGTATTATGGATATCTTATGTGTCTGTCTAGGTGAAGGTGATACAACTCCTACTACAACCAGCCTGGATGGTAAGTAAGCCTGTAGATGTACTGTTCAGTGCATGTACTGTATCCTCTAAGACTAATCATTTCTTTCTGATTGGGAAACAAGAGAGAGATCAGCTAAAGATACAGAAAAACGTACAGCCTGGGAAAAATTGCTTTTACAAGAGGAAAAATATAGAATAGCTTTATTATATTCCTTTATCTATGCTCACTGTCCTGTCTTGCCAGTGGTGAGATATGGTAATGACTTTCAATATTTGCTTTATAACTATGTAAATCTCCATAATAAACCTATTTAAATATATGTATTTTGTATTCCCTATGAATATTTATACAGGCTGACCCAGCTTCAATAAAGTAGTTTTGATGCTCTAGAAATATATTTCATTAGTGCAGGAAAGTTAATCCATAATAAATATTGACCTTCTTGTGGTCCTTATGTGCAACTGTGCAGGTTTCCTACCGCTGTTTTTAGTAAAATGTGATCTCTGGACCTGCTTTCAGATACTGTCATTCCTTGTGCCTCAACAAAACATTTGAGAGTTGTAAATGGAATCCCAACACAAACTAACGAAGGATGGGTGGTTAGTTTGACATACAGGTAACTATCACTTTGATTATAAAGAAAATGTGTCTACTAGGATATTTGTTTTGGAACTGTAGAAAAGGTTGACGGTAATAAGAATACTTCTAGATTGCAGTTAAATTCTGTACAAGCAGAAAATCAGCATTCCTGGAACATGGGGTGATTCCTTAGTGTTCACTCCATCAGTGAAATGTTTATACGTTCGTTATTGCTTCCTTACACCCATGAGCTTATAAAGCATTCTTAGTGTTCTGCTCCTTCAATTAGCTACTGCAGACCTTTTCGTATCATTGGCTCAACATCCAGCATTAAACTGTTTAGAGACTGTTACCAAAAAATGTTAGTTTCATATCAATATTTTCATTTTAACAGCAGTTCATTTAGTTGTGACGTGATGGATTCAGGATATACACCCACCTCAAATTTAGCTTTCTGTTCCTATCATTGCATGCAATTGAGATGTAGTCTGTTTAAAAAAAAAAAAAAAAAAAAAAAAAAAAGTAGGATGAGTAGGATGCTATAAGGAAATCCTTTTCATTCTGTAAAACAAGATCCTAACATGTACAGCTGGAAATGTGTATTACATTATGGCAGAATCTTACTTTGCTACTGTGTAAAAACCAGAACACAGAATTAATGTTTCCTATGTTCATTACTCTCATTCATAACTCATCAGCTGAGAGTGTGAATCATTAATGTATAACAGGAGACATATCTCATGCATCAGCCCTGTGTCTTTTATCACGAAAAAAAATGTTTTTTTTGTCTGCTGGTGCAGACTAAAGTACATCTTACTGCTATTAGCTTAAGATTTGTCAACTGTTTTAAAACTAGGTTGAAAAATAGGTCTTAAATGAAAAAAAAATCGGGTAAGAGAAAACATAAAAAGCCTATTTTCTACATTGTTTCACTACTACAGAAATTCGGGGCGTCCTTCCCATCCTTATAATCTTTGCATGTTATGAGCTCCAGTCAGAACTAGACCTTTCTGGTAGTCTAGCAGATGGTCCAGAAAGAAGTTTCTAGAGGAACATCAGTCTATACCTTGACTAAATAACCAGATAGGCAGGCTGAATCACTCTCTGGAAAAGTTTATCTTTGCACTGTTTTTAAAGCAACCTTGACGTTTGAGGAACTTTTAGACAGGTAAGGTACATTACATCTGGGTACCTAAAATTTAAATAGCTAATGTTAAGTTAGTTGAACCTGGATTTTGTGCTATTCAACAAAGTTCCATTAAGCAGATGAATGCTTGAATGTTTTCAGGTTCTTTTATGAAAAAGGGATTCCTGAAATAGTTCAGCAGCAAAATATATATTTTAAGTATTACATGTAGGCATAAAAATGTAGTTTTGTTTTGTATTGTTACCAAGGAAGCAAATATAATGTTGTCTGAAACAAAATCTTAATAACTTCAGGGCTTTCTGCAAAAAACTAACTGTACACCTCAAAACGGAATTGCCAGGTCTGGATGGCAAAGGCTTAGTGACACTTAGAGACTTGTATTCATATTTGGCAAGTAAGGTCCACCTCTAAATGTTAAATTAATCAAGGACACATTTTCTTATATTTCTGATCCAGATTCTGTTATCAGGTATAATTAGGTATATTTGGATGAATTTTATCTGTTTAATGGAATCAGCTCTGGATTTGTGCCACAGTTAAAGTAGTTTAACCTTCCTATGTGTATTAGTCAATCTTCTAAAGCAGATGATGCAGTCATGTAAATTCCTTTTGATGATTACTGAAGCAAACATAATATGCAAGAACACATTTATACTCCTGATTGTGACATTTTTAAAAAAAAAACTGGGCAGAATCTATATTTTAAAAAGAATCCAGCCTTTTGGACCAGATATTTTGTTCCTCAATCAAAACACAATTAAAAAAAAAAAAAAAAGTCAAGCATCTGTGTTATTCTGCTGTCTTTGAACTCCATATAGAGTCTGGGCTCCTTCCAGCAGTTCTTTGCAAAGCTTTGAACATTTGTGTGATTTGAATTTATAAATTGTGAGATTTTAAGCTTTTCCCAAATTGCTGACAATTCTAATTCACTTTCCAAAGAGCTGCAGAAAATAAATGTGATTTTGGAGGCACAAAGAAGGAAACTAATTAATCTGCATTCCACAGTCATCTTTATTTTTTAAAGAACTGTCATGCTTAATTGCTTTAATTTTACTTGATATATTATGCTGCAGGTTTTCTATAATCACATGTAGGATGCCATACATTGCAGATTGTTTCCAACTGAAGTAAGTGGGGACAGAAATCTCATAGGGCTGGTAATCAAATAGGAACTCTTCACCTTGAGGTCAATGATTTGAATAAACCTACATGAATAATGACCAAATGTTGTTTACATCTGGTGGCAGTTTGGGGACTTGTTTGAATGTTTCAGTCCAGTTCCTATTACAAAGAATTAGTTAGCCTATTATTATTATTTTTTTTTTTTTAAATTAGGTCTCATTATAAATTCAACTTTGAAACCACTAAATGAACAGAGTAACTCAATTTCTCTTTCGTCCTGCTTTGTACACATTGGAGAAAATCTCTGCAAAGTCATGCTATTGTAATTGTTGAAACTGTAGAGCAAAGGGACAGAGCCATGTTCTCGAAAGCTGTCAGTCATCCACCTTTCACCAGCAAAAATATGTGGGGAGCAAAAGTACTCTTTAAAGTTTTTGCCTATGTAGAAACTAACTCTATTACCTTTTTTTTTTTTTTACTTTTTAATTTTTTTCTTCTTTTTTTCCCCCCCCAGGAATAAGCATATCTGTGGAGGTACTTTGATAAAGGAAGAGTGGGTTCTAACAGCAAGGCAGTGTTTCCCTTCTCGGTACAGTAGTCTGTAGCATTGCAATATCGAAATACATCTATTTTCAGGAACTTATCAGCATAACATTTCTTCAACTTAAATGCAGCATTTTTCCCTCCTGTTTGGCTTTAGCACTGCTTTTCTGATGTAAAAGCCCTGTGGGACCTTGGTATTTTCTGTTATTATTGTTGTTAATCTAAAAGAGCTCTGGCTATTTTACATTGAAGTATAAATATGTTTTCCGAGTGTAATGGTTAGACAATTGCCTCTTTATAAAAATAATCTCATGCGTCTGCTCAACTGGACAGAATAAAATAGAAAAATTGGGTAAATCTCAAACAGTTCAAAGGTTCATACTGTCCAAGCATCTAAATGTTTGGATAGCATTAGGAAACAAAAATTAGATTTTAGTCACAGTTAAAGATAAAATTATGTAGTGGCTTCAGACCAAAAACTTACGTCCGAGCATGTTGCTTTTGGAATAGTAGTTGGAAGCATAAACCCATTTCTAGTGAAGAGCATTAGTTAAGATCTTCTAGCATAATCATATTAAGCAGAGTTTTTTGAGTTATTTTATTATGCACTCAGCAAAATGCTAACCTCCTTTGCCTCATTTAGGTACAAAGATTTGAAAGACTACAAAGCCTGGCTTGGAGTCCATAATATCAAAGGAAAGGGAGAGGAGAAGCATAAACAAATTCTGAACATCTCCCAGTTGGTATATGGCCCCGCAGGGTCAGATTTGGTCTTACTGAAACTTAGCAGGTTAGTAGCTATTATTGCTGATCCCAGGGTTTTCAACTGATGAATGAGATTCCTCCTAAATAAGATTTGCAAACTCAGTTCTCTGCTGTTGTGATACTGCAGATGGTGTTTCCATGGGGTAAACTTCCAATTGTAAGAAATTTCACTTGATATATGCAGAAATGCAGGTTCGTCTACCTTACCCAAAACCCAGATGCTACTTCTGAAAAGTCATGCCCACATTGTTTTTCCTGATAACCAGGTTTAGGTTTGTTGGGGTTTGTTTTTGCTTTTTTTTTGTGTGGTTTTGTTTTGTTTTGGTTTGGTTTTGTCATTATTGTTTGTTTAAAAAACAAACAAAAACAAAACAAAAGAAAAAAAACAAACAACCCACATTGACTGGTATACGGTTTTAATTTATAGAATAAGCATGAGATTGTAACAGATCGTTGTGTATATACGAACTTTCAAACTTTCTCTGTATTAGCAAAACTATATATTCAAATGAAATGCCACCAGTACTTACTTTTAAGATAAAAATCCAAGTTAAATAACATGAAAGTGGTGACAGCATTTCAAGAAATCTTTTGACAGTTAACAGCTGTAGTACAAAAAATAGGTAGAAGAATCCATCATATTCTTCAAAGATGGAAAAGAAAGGAAAAGGATTGGCACAGTTTTTAGTTGCTGTGGTCTATAATAGTTTTAATGTCATTTTTAAGATAAATTTTAGAAGGTTAAGTAAAATACATTATATCTATTATTTGTTTTCTTTTTTTTTTCAGACCTGCCATATTGACAAATTTTGTAGAAATAATCCGATTGCCCATTTCTGGATGTACCATTCCAGAGAAGACCAGTTGCAGTGTTTATGGATGGGGATACACTGGATGTAAGAACCTATTTTTAAAAACTAAATGAATACGTTGACAGCTTACTTCCTCTTGTCATTATAGGTGAGGCTGCTGGTATTGCCTGATACCACAGTTGTCCAACTGTAAATCTTTGAGCATTTTATCTAAGATCATTTAATATGAAATATTTTCTACTAGTCCATTCTTTTTTGTTTGTTTTGGTTTCTGTGACCAGCAAAATGATTCAAGCATTTCAAAGAATGAACTAGAGAAAAATATTTTTCTACAGGTTTAAAAAACATGGCAGAATTATTTTGCAGAGATCTAACCTTTTCTTGAAAAATTCTGGTTCATCTACTTGAGCAGTGTCGTTTTGTATCCTAAAGCAGGCTGCTCTGTGGAAAAACTAGTACAGAATCATGTAATTGAAGACATAATTAACATACACAAAGACAGCGAAGGAAGGATGCACAGGCAGCCTTAAGTCTGGCATTTCCTAACTTTTGAGTACTTGACTTTGCAACCTTACTAATGTTTATTAAACACGTTTTTTTTTTGTGTGAAGTAAATACAAATATGTGGGAGAACAGACATCTATTTAGTCTGGTAAATACTATATCTGGCTAATTATGTGTTGATGATAAAGTTAATAGCTGCCAGTTGACAATAATTACTCCAATAATTGCTGTGCTCAAATGTCATTTTGCCGCAGACCCTGAGTAAGCAGCAGCAACACACTCAGGCTGTCCTGGAAGCGGAGCAGAAACTAGACTGTAACTCAGAGGCTCTCTTCCTTGTAACCATTCCTCCGCATTTCTTTGTGGGTGGCAAGTAATCTGTACCAACCCTCTGCCAGATGACAGCCTTTGATGTTCCCAGCATGGCCATATTAGCCAGCCTCTGGGGGGAATGGCTGCCAGGGACACAGGGAAGTCCGGCTGGAGCACGGTGCAGCATCACGGGAAAGCTTAGCTTAAGAGAGCTGATAAGGAATTTGCAATGTTGTGCAGTTATGTAATACAGTAAATACATAACATCTGTCATCCAAGGACTTTGTACTATATTTTATGCACTACTTAATATAATCCTCACAGCATCCTAGTCAGGGAAGGAAGAAGTGTTACATCGTTTTGTTTGTTTGTTTGTTTGTTTGTGTTTTTGTTTTTGTTTTTTTTTAATTCAGGAAAGCAGGATAACTATTCAGTGAAGGGCAAGCTTGGCATTTACTTTTGATGGCTGTGCAGAGAACGGGCAGGTCCAGGCCCTTTATTTATCTTCGCAGCTTGTACAGACTTGTCTTTCAACATGTAGAACAAGAGCAAGCTCCACAGGGCTCCTGCTTCCTGACCTTCACACTGATGAATGGAGATTGCACAAAGCTGTGGCTCTGCCCTTGCAGGCACAAAGTCATTCAGTGTAGCTGAGCCAGCACAGAACAAGAAAAACTCTGCTCTGCTACAGTATTTTTCAAGTCACACGTCCTTCTCTAGGCCATGGCAGGCCCTGGTGCACATTAAGGCAGGGAGCAAAATCTTTGCTCTGCTGATGGGCGTGATAACATTTTCAGGCTCCCTTTTTCCAATTCCTGCCAAGTGACAGGGCAAGCTGGTGGCAGACTGTAGAGTAAACCCAGATACCTAGCACTTTCTTCTAACAGAAAAAACATGCACAGCAAATAAATTTCTTGCAAATCTCATTTGTAACAAATATAAGAAATCCAAAAGACAAATACACGATAATGTGAGTACTGGAGAGAAAGTACAATAACTGAAGTTACATGAGTAAGTTTATCCAGACTGCATCTTCAATTTTTCTCTTCCCCCTAAAACAGAATAATGTTTTCATTCTCTTTTCAATCCTAGTAGTTAACTATGATGGCCTTCTCCGGGTAGCAAACCTGTTTATTTTGGGAAATGAGAAATGCAACCAATATCTCAAAGGGAAGATCACTGTGAATGAGTCAGAAATCTGCGCTGTGGCTGAAACCGTCGGTGCTGGGCCTTGTGAGGTACGTATTACATTTCCTCGTACATTCTTAGGAGGCATCAACATGACTATTTCTGTCCCACAAATAATTTACCAGAGTTTTTTTATAATTATTCTCTCAGCATTAAAATTGTACACAAAAAGTTATTTTACTCTTCTGCATTGGAAAATGATTTATGTTTCTAGTGATCCATTTTCTGCCAGAGTGCAGGAAGAGGTTCCTTTGCTTCAATTTCACCGTACCACCATACCAGTAAAGGATTTACATGAATGTTAAATGTGTTCATACGACTAAACACTTTGCTGGACTGAGACAAATTGGTGTTCTGTATAATAAGCACTAAAGTGGGCTGTGTGCTAGCAACAGCAGTATATTTTGATTGAGTAGAAAGAAAAGGCTGCAGCAAATTTAACTGCTTTGCTAGATGAGGACTTCCATGCAAAATACATAAAAATCACCACTCAACAGAGTTGATAAAGTTAGGAGGGAAGGAGGAAGATCCAGAAATGAACTGATGTTTGGTATTAGTCAGAAAGCTGGAGCATTTGTTCTCCCTAATCAAGTCTGAGCAACATATCAGTGAGGACAGGAGAACAACTTCACAGAAAGTATAGTTTGATACAGTTGCTTTGCTTGGGGCTAGTTTTAATGATGGAGAAAAGACGTCTGAGGAGAAATGCTGTAAATCATTTATTACAGGAAGACATCATTTTTTGTGTGGAAAGTCTGCCTGATGAGATGATGTCTAGAAGGAGGACAGTCATGAGTATTATTATGCATTTAATATCTGGACTAGAATAAATGATTTTCTAATATTGATATTAAACAAGCAGTGAAATTTTCCCTACCCAGGGGTACTACCAAACCATGGGAAAACAAGTTCTTCATCAGGCTGAGGCCTCTTCCATTTATTATTAATATTCCAAAGGATCATTTTTTTATTGCAAAGTATTTTCTTCAAAATCAAATATTTAATCATAAATGAGCTCTTAGACATGTCAAGCCTTATAAATGAAACATCTGCATGGAAGTCTGCTGGGGACCCCACACTTCATTTTCCCCTGCAAGAAGAAAAGGACTGAATTAATATTAGCAATCTGTCTTAATCACCGCATGGTTTCCTGCTCCCTGAGTTCCCCTTTGAAGCTACTTTCCTCAGCAGAGAACAGGCGGAGAAACAAAATCAGATTGGCAGGTGAAACTCCACTCCTGAAAGTGTTTTATGAGCTGCTCTGATGACACTGACATAGTTCATTGTTCATGTGGGAACCACTCTGCAGTCAGTCAGAAAAAAAACAAAACCCAAACCTAATAAAGGTCAAGCATTGTTGTGTTGCTCGTGATCCGGAGAGAATACAATACTAATTGTCAGCTTTCATTTTTTGAAACAATGTTTCACTATCTGATATGAATATTTACTGTCTCATTTTGCAGCTAGTTTGCTCGCTTCAGTATACGTTTTGCCTGGATAAAAACTGCACTGTCTATGTTCAAGTCCTAAATCTATGTGAATGTATCTAAATTACCGTTTCAGTCTAATTTAAACTGGATGTATTTTAGTGCTAAATAAGACCCCGATCTGAGTTTGCCATACTCCGAATTTTCACTGAATGCATGTAGTGATGCATAGATATCTCGTTCACTCAGAATAATGAAAAATAGCATTTTAATAAATTATGTCTCAAAATTATGCCTACAAAATGTTACCTATTATTATATTTGGGATGTTCCCACCCCAGCCAATTAGTGCACATAGATTCTCATCCTGGAGCCTTGCAAGGTGGTTGACTGTCAGAAGGATATTAACCGGACCCTGTCAGTAGGCTTTGATGTAAAGCCTGTTATAACACAGTTGTTTATCAGTCAACTCACTTTCTGCTCATCTGGTTTATATACACATAAACACTATGCTTTCAGGTAGCTGAAAGAGAAGAGTAAGACCTAGTAGACTGAAGTCACTAGAATCACGTCTGAAGATGGATCATAGGGATTAATTTGCATAGAAAGCAACCAAAGGTCAAAGGCCAACCTTGGTATTGGTTTGCATAAGTTCTGGTTGTTAAAATATATATTGGGAGCTTTTTATTGTCCTATTGTACGAATAACTCTACTGCCTGTTCATTGAGCTACATCAACCCCAAAAGAAACCAGTCAATTGTAGATGGTGGGGGCTGTGTCTTGAAGCATTGACGTTCTTTATGTTTATTTTTTCCTAGCGAGATTATGGTGGTCCATTGGTTTGTGAACAAAACAGGCTGAAGATAGTAGTTGGTGTCATTGTTCCTGGCCGCGGATGTGCCATTCGAAATCGTCCTGGGATTTTTGTTCGGGTGTCATATTACTCTCGGTGGATACACAAGATTATGATGACCTACAGAAAACCCTGAAAAACTCAACAACTTCCACTCAAAGAAAGACTTTGGACAACACGGATTTAATGTGTAATGTAAAGATCAATAATTTTTTAACTACTTGATAGTCAAGTTTGTTGAGCTTCTTTTAATATTTATGGGTGTTTTTGGTGTTTTTGTCTATCAGTGTTGTTTTATAAATGTTGGAGTGTCTTACAGTATATGCAAAGTATGGTGACATGTCTCCTGAAGATACTTGAATGGGTAAACAATTTTGCAAAGATATTATTACTGGATGATAAATGGTTTTGTAGAAAAAGATCATATGACCTCTTTTATGCTGCTCTTCAGATCATCTTAGAAGAAGAAACAAATTATAGTTTATTTAACACACCTTATTCTTTCTATGAGCCATATATTTCTCTTCATATATGACAAAAGACCTACTGAGAGATAGCTAGATCTGTCAAGGACAGCATATATGATCATATTTTTCTTCCCCCCTTATAAGAGGTCGAAGATTTCAATACTTCATGAAAAAATAGTCTCCTTAGAAATTAATCTTTTCATTACTGATGGACTTTGACAAACCTGCCATAAGCAGAGTTCTCATAGCAGTCGATATCACTTCCTTTTACACAGTGCTTATAGATTAGTTCCGCATTTAGTTCCTTCTGTGTGTATGTGGTCCCCTAACAGATATCTCAAAAACCCTTTTGCATGAAGGAAGAGACATAGAAGTGAATTGGCTAGCAAACTACTGATCATTTGTTTTAAGTTAGTCCCAGAAATAACGGTGACTTTACAGTGCTAAAGAGAGTACTTCATACGGTTTGAAAAATTAACCCTGATGAGCTACTGGCAGACTTTGGCCATTAAAAGAAATTTCAATCAAATATGCCCAAATCTTTCTCAACAGACAAGTGCTAAAAATTCAGTTGATTCTAGTTATTTCATGAAACTAACTCTGTATTTACAACAGGAAAAAGAATAGTTGAGCCTGGCACCTGGCTGAGAGACTTAATACTGGGAAAAGTAAGTTATACATTAACAGTCTTCTAGAGACTTAAGATCTTTAATAAACCCTTACCTAGATTCGGAAAAAAATAAATTATATCCTTTGTATAATTCCTTTCAGGGTAATAAAATTATTGCAGATATTGATATGATCAGGTATGTAATATGGAAAACATCACCAATAATTTAGTAGCTTGTGTGTTTCCTGCCTGTGTGTAGAACCATAATTTTCCTTTACATTGATGGGAAAAGGGAACAAATAATCAGCATCTATGAAAAGTGCTTGTTCTCCTTTAGGCATTTAGTTTTATGGCTGGAAGTATGTTACAAATATGTTGTTATAGGTGGCATCAATTACCCTGTAATTTCTCGAAAATTGGTAGAACGTATATCCAATTGCTAGTTTTACTACTGTACATGTAATTGCATAAGTAACTGCACTGTTACTTCACTTGTGACTATATAATTGTTTATGTTTCCGGTAGCAAATTGTATGGTATGTGTATCATATCTAACCGCTAAGCTAACATCATGGTGTAGACATATAAAAAGACATTTCATTCAGAGGACGCAGGGTTGAATTCTGCTCTGGCAGAGAGTAACCAGTTCCGGGGAGCTGTCTTGGGAGGCAGCCCTCGTGTTGGCTCACCAAATTATTTTCCTCAGCAATGCACTTTGACTTCAGTGGGACTCAAATATGCTTACATCTCCTGGTGAACTAAGGTGAGTTTCAGCCATGCTTAAGTGGCTTGGTTTGCTGAGATTTGTGTCAAGCATCCAGCAGCTTCTGCTGGCACATAGGAAGAAGTCTTTCAGCAAGCAGAGCTTCTGAAATTCCTCCTGATGTAAATAGTCTCTTTGGACGAGATGTGACTTCTCTGTACAGCAGATCTGAGGTTGTGGACGCTACGCAGATAGTCTATCTTGATCTATTTTGGCTGCCTCTGAAGGCTTTGTGCTCCTTTGGGGCTCTCTTACTTACCAGGCCTAAAGAGGGCGGGATTTAGCCTGTTGTATTTACAGTTAATTATCGCCATGTATGTGAAGAGTGTATTCTTACTAAGCATATACTGACCACATCTTATTGAAAGGATTAACTTTTTAAGAGAGACTTTTCAAAAACTCCGAGTGAGTTTTGTTTTCAGTCACAAGTAGAATGTGGATAAAATATATAATTCCATGTTCACTCTTTGTATTCTAAGAATTGTTATGTGCTCACTGTATTATATTTGCAGGCATTTTGTTATGTCTATCTAAAAAAATCGAATCCTAAAATATTTTAGTTACGAGCTTCTGCTGTGCAGAAGACTGATTTTTATATATATATATACACATATATATATATGATAAAAATACTGTTTTTTGTTAGACAACGTGTAAGGATTTTTACCTGTTTGTTCTGGGCAGCACCTCAGTAAAATAAATTGTGCAGAGTTGGTGCTCCAGAACTTAACATGTTTGTATGTACTTGCTCATCAGGTGCTCTTGCTCTCCCTGTCTCAGTATGGAGGGCATGTGAGACTCTGAAGAGCAAGGGAAGAGAATAATAATGATATGTGGTAATGAATTTGTACTTCATTTATTCCTGTGAATATTTCTTGTTGGTACCAATGGTACCGTACCAGGCAACTGTTATAACTACAGGATTCTCTTACGAAAGGACACTCTATAGATATTTTTTCACTGTTCTAACATTTTTCTCTCTGTAATAACAAGGGAACCTGATCTAGTGCCCATCTAAATTGCTCTTACTAACTTCAGCGGGATCCGGACTTTACTTCGTAGGTGTGATTTTATTCATATTAAAATTAAAAGGTACAGAACTTAGATTCTTATCTAAGGACATTCTTAATCTCCATTGAATTTCATCTTCATTCTCTTTGCTGTAACTAATCCTTGGTCTCTGAGAAGTGTAATAACTGGATATAAATTTTTGGAATTAAAATCTAAAAGCTGATTTTGGGCTACTGAAGTTAGTTTGATTTAATTACTGATTTTCCTTGGGCACTGGAACTGGCTGACACTTCTTCTTTTCATTAATGAAAAAAATTTCCCTTGAAAAAGCTTTTTTCCCTATCTCTTTTCTTCTCATAAACCTCATGACCCTCAGAGAAACTGTAGCTCTCATTGGGAATGTACTGGTCTAGATTTTTGCTGCTACTGCTGAAATCTTCTTCTCAAGTTTAAGATTAAAATTCTCTGAGGCATTCTGCAAAGCCTTGCTGCAGGTAATGCCAATGTACTTGACAGAGCTACTCATTTGAGTTAGAGCTTTTCAGACGAGGGTCCAAATATATCTCTGAGGGTCAAAATCTACTCAGGCAAAATGTCCCTTGAAATCAGTGAGTGTGATTGTCAAAAGAGCGGGGGCTGAAAGTTGCTCGGTGCTTTTCCCTATGGCCGTGCACTGAACTACATGCATCCTTGTACACTGAAAAGCACACAGAATCTCACCTCCAGGGCAACTGCAACAGGAGGTGAGGCTTTATTGCCATCCTTCTGGAAAGCTGGTTGTAATCTAGTTGACCCCCATAGAATCTGTATGAAACATATTGGATTGGTTGTTTAGCCTTGTTTCCTTAACAGTTATTTTCTTCCTCCCTCACGTGCACTGGTATATTATTGATTTATGAATGTTGGGGCTGCTGGCAGGAACTAACATGGCTTTTCATCCTAAAATTTTACAGTGTTCCTTTTTAAACATACTCTCGGGCACGTATGGTGTTTCCCTGCATGGGACCTAACTTCAGGGAGCTGCCTGTGGAATTCAGTGTATGATAAGAGTATTTTTTCATATTTAAGTAGGAAAAATAATGCTCCCGTTAAGTACAACTAGCTGAATGACTAATGAAAAGGGAACACTGTGGTTATAACTTGTATTACAAATCTTCTGTAATTAACAACATCTTCATTAGTTAATAAAGTTGGTATTTTTGTAACCTTGTTTACTCTTATTATTCTTAATAAAGTATTTTATAAAAAAACAACAGCTCAATTATCATTATATTTCTTATTTAAAGAAGAAGGTTTGGAATTCCATTGGTAGGCTCCCAATATGAATTTCAGTGAGGGATTTTAGTGTGCAAAGTAAGGAGAACTGGTACTTTAAAGAGCTTCGTGTGTCCAATAGCAGAATTGCACATAAAATGAAAGACAGCCAAATCCACGCTGTGATCCTTCTGAGTCTCCCCAAGAGCTTCCTGATGGGATTCTGCGCTGAGAAAGGCCTAAGCATATTACGGAGAGAGTATATTTGCAGTGGAAAGGGTGTGTTTAACCTAAACATGAATATTTTCCAAGAGTTTTATAGTTCCTTACAATTTCAATATGAGAGGCTTGGAATTTTAAACATTTCTTTTAATATACTTCACACTTCTGGAAAAGGCTCCCCTCGGTTTGTCACTTGGTACATAAGATGATGCAAAGGAGACCAATAACTTGCAGAAACCAAGGTGAAGTTGCTGCACTTAATGTCAAAACCAGCCAACAGCAATAGCTAGCAAAAGAGGAAACAAGCAACACCATTACTAAGCCCCACCACATCAGTGCCTCTGTCCAGCTGAGCACCGTCAAGCTCCTATAGCATCATGGCATTCTGGTTCAGTAAAGTTCAAGTAAGGGACAGCGAGTTCATTACTTCTTTTTCACTATCCAGAAGAAAATTTAAAGTTCTAAGCATTTCTGGTTTAACTGATTTTTTGATGATTTAAACACATATTTGCTAACAACTCCAGCTATATCAACAGTGAATCATTCTTCAAATAAACTCATGTGAAGAGTGTTTGAAGTCTGATTCTGAATTTTCCATGGTAAACACCACTTTCTTTTTGTTTGTAGTCCAAAAAGGAGATTTCCTAATTGATTCATAAAATCAGTGGATTTTATCAGGAACTCCTGAAATCAATGGGAGACTTGCCAATAACTTCAACCATGCAGGAATGCTTCCAAAGTTATAAAAATTTAGAAATAGTCCATATGTCAAAACCATATTTTTTTATAGTTTTACATTCAAATTGTTA